AATTTTAAAACTAAACTTAAGGCTTTTAATAATTATATTACTACCCTTATTATATTAATTTAATAAAAAAAAGTTACTTAATAGCTTTAAAATTATAAGCATGCTTGTTAAAAAATTTTATACCTTAAATAACCTAAAACTAATAATAAAATAGCTAATATAATATTTTTAAAGGCTATTAATAAATACTTAATAGCTTATATAAAGCGCTATATAAGTTAATTAAATTATAAAAAACCTAGTAAAACTAATTATTTTACCTTTATTTTTAAGTTTTAATAATATTTTTTTACTACTAATGGCTTTGCTAAAACCTTTATAAAAAAAATAGCCTTTACTATACTTGCTAAAAAGTTAAATTAACCCTTTGCTAATAATACTAAAAAATTCTTTATTAATAAACCTTTTTAAGTATTAACTAATAATAAACTAATTTATTTTTATAAATACAAGTATACTATAAAGTTTTACTATAACTTTATATATTTACACTATTTAAAGTCCTATAAAATAAATAAAGGACTAGAAAAGAAAATTAGCAAAGTGCTTAAAAAAATAATAAATATAGTAAAAAGCTTTAAAAGTTAAAGGTTAAAAATACCAAGCTTTTTAAAAAAAAATATTAAGAACTAGAAAGCTTAATAAAATAACTAAAAAAACACGTAGTTTATAATTCCTAAAGAATATTATAAAATAGCCCTAGTATTTAATATTTTAAGTAATTTAAAACTTTAAAATACCTTTATTTTTAATACTAGTGCCTTTATTTATGTTTATAATAATTTTAGCTATTTTACCTTTTTAAATTACTTTTAAAATAGTAATATTTAAGCTAAAAATATAACTATAGCTATATGAGGTTATAAATTAATTTTTATTTATTTAAAAGTATTTAATAAAGGGATTATATTATTTATACTATATAAAATTATATATACTCCTAGATTTTACCTTAATATTATAGTAGTAAGGCCTTTTTAAAAAGCTAAATATACTTAAAATTTTAATATTTTTATACTTAAAAATAATAAACTAGTTTTTTGCCTTAAAAATTATTTTTTAGGCCTTTAAATAATAAAACTAAAAAAAAGTTTTTTAAAGCTAGAAAAGGCTAACACTCTAACTTTATAAAAAATTAAAATTTTAATTTAAAAAGTATAGCTTTAAAAAAATCTTAAAGTTTTTTACTAGCACCTAAAATATATTAATAATAAAATACTTAAGTATTTTTTATAATAATATAAAAAGTTAATATTTTTAATTTTTAATTACTTAAGCACTATAATACTTGCTAGGTTAATTAAGCTTTTTAATAAATATTTAAATAGCCTAAAAAACTAGTTACTAAGTTATTTATTTATATTTATATTAATTTTATTTTTATAAAGCCAGTAATAAATAAAAATTAATAAGTAACTTATTTTTATAATAAGTACTTTAAAATATATTAGGCCTATTCTTACTAGCTTAAAAGTAATTATAAAAATATTATTAAGTAATTTATATAATTTATATAAAACTATTATAAAGTTACTTTAAAGTTTTTATTTAATAATAATAAACCTATTTTTAGTAATAATATTTTTAACTTTACTATTTTTAAAAATATTTTTTAAAATTAGTTTATTTTATACTTTTTATTTTAAAATAATATAGCTAAGTACTTTAAAGGCATTTTAATTTAAAAAGCTAAAATAATAACTTTATATAAGAATATTTTACTTAATATATAGCCCTGGGTTATAAAAGTAGTAGCTTATATTAATAATTAAATTTTTATTAAAGTTATTAATTAAATAACTTTATAAAAAAAACTTACTAGTAAAAAGCCTTATATTTTAAGTATTTAAATTATTAAATATTTTTCCTAGGCAAGAAGATTTTAAAAAAAAGGCCTTTATAAAATAAAGCTAAGGGCCTTACTTAAATATTTTATAGGTTATTAAGCCTTAAATATTTAGTAAATTTAATTTTTTTAAGATTAGCATGTTAAAGCTTATAAAAATATTATTTTTAATAAATCCTGGCTTTATAATTTATAAAAACTATTTTTTATTATTAATATTTAAATTAATTTTTTTAAATTATTAATTAAGATTTTTAAACCGCCCTCTTGCCGCTATATTATTAAAAATATAAATTTAAATTTAAACTTTACTAAATTTTTTAAAAAAAAAATAAAGGTATTTTAATAATAAGCAAGCTAAGGGTGGTAAAAATATTTAAAAATAAAAGTATTAAAAAAAATAAAAATAAAAAAAGATTTAGGTATAAGGTTATACCTAGGCCTAATTTTAGTAAAATTAAGGCCTTTAATTTATTAAAAAGTTTTTTACCTTTTTTTACTTTAAACCCCACTTTAAAACCTTAATATTATAAAATTTTTATATAAAAATTAATATTAACTAGTTTTTTAATAAATTACTATAGCCTTTATAATAGGTTACACGCTCCTAAACTTAAAAAAATTTATTTTTAAACCTAACTAGTTAATAATTATTATAAAAAATAAAGCAAGCCTACTTTTAAACTCTTATTTATTTTATTACTAAAAATATAAAAAAAGGTAAAGAACTAAGAATTAAACCTATTATTTTTTTAAATAGTTAACTAAATAAAAACTAGTACCTTAAAATAATTAAAAAAACTTTAAGTTTTATTTAAGTGCTTTAATAAGCTATATAAGTTATATTATTATTATAATTATTTTTAATTTTATTTTTTATAACTATATATAATTTACCTTTTTTACTTTTTATTAAACCCTTAAAAAAATACTTTTATTAAAATAAATTACTACCTTTTTTTAAGCACTAGAAAAATCTTAAGAATTATTTACTAAAAAATATATTTTTTAAAGCTATTAATTTTAAATTAAATAAACTTAAAAAGATAGGAGTATAAAGGGTAGTTAATAAATAAAAAGTAGGTTTAAATAAGCTAATTTCCCTATTATAAGTATTTATATATAAGTTTAATATAAATAACTACTTTTTTAAGGCTAAAGCTTAAATTTATATATATAAAAATCTTAAACTAGTTAATTATAAAAATAATTAAGTAGTTATAATCTTTACCTATTTTTTTAAGTTATTATAGCACTTATTACCTTTTTTAATATAAATATAAGGTAATATAATATTATTAATATCTTTTTTAATATAAGCCTTAATAAATTTATATATTTTTAATTTTTAAATAGCCGCAAGTAAGAAAAAAAGCTTTTAAAAGCTTTTAAAGCTATTTATAATTTTAAAAAGTTTTTTATTTTTAATAACTTAATTTAGCCACTACCTTACGCAAATTTAGCTTTACTATAATACCTAAAAAATGCCTTTTTACTAGTAAGTTAATAATTTTTTTAGTATATATAAATAATCTTATTTTTATAAACCTTTTTACTAAGTAAGGCTATTTTATAATAGCTACTTTTAAAAAAAAACTTTTAGTAAAGTATAAGCTTTGGTATTTTAATAAAGTTAAATAATTTTTAAAAGTTTAAATTTTTTAGGATAGTCCTTAGCGCAAGCTCTAGCTTTTTTAAAATTTTTATATTAAAATTATTATAAATTAATTTTACTTAAATATTATAATTTAACTATTTTTTATCCTGCTTTTATTACCTAGCAAGCTTTATTTAAACTTTAATATAATTATTTTTAAAAATATTAAAAAAATAAAGTTAAAAATTAAATCTATTAAATATGCTAGTACTTTTACTTATTTAAATATTTTTTATATAATAAGCTACTTATTAAAATATTTTATTAATTTTATAAATTATTATTAATATATAATAAATTAACTTATTTTTTATTTTTATAATACATGCTTTTTTACTTTTAAATACTTTGGTTTAAATAGCTTTAAAAATAAGATTTTTATTAAAAAATATAAAATTTATAAGTTATACTTTAATATAATATTTATAAATTACTTTAATTAATTTTTTAATATAGGCTATATTTATAAGTTATATAAAGGTTTAATTAAATAAAAGGCTATAAGGTAATATTTAATTATTATTTTTATTACTAAAATAAAATTACTTATTTTTATTAAGGCTTTTAAAATAATATACTAGTAATAAAAAGTTTTTAAAGCTATATAATTTAATTTTTAATACTAGCTTTTAATTTAATATAATAATAAATAAATAATTAATATTTTTATTAATATTAATATATAACTTTACTTAAAGCTTTATTATATTAATATTTATAATTTATAGCTTAGGCAGGAAGTTTAATATAAAAATTTTTATATTAAATAAACCCTTACTAACTAAATAATTATAAATAGCTTTATAAAAATACTTATTAAATAATAATACTAAAAACCTATTAAAATACTAGGTTTAATAAATATTTCTAGCCTTATTTTTAATTAATTTAAAAGTAAGTAAGTATTAAAAAAGCATGTTAATTAATAATAAAAATTACTTAATTTAATAAAAAAGTATTATAGCACTTTAATAGCACTTAAATATTTTAAATAATTTTAATTAAAATATTATAATACCTACTACTAAACTACTTGCCTGTATAACTATAATATTTATAATTTTTTAAATATTATAAAGTATTAGTAAAAGTATTTAAAATTTTTACTATTTTTAAAAGCTTAAATTATTTATATAAACCCTAGTTAGCTCTAGCTTTTAAATATTATCGCGTTCCTTATTTAATTCTCTAGTATTTGTTTAATTAACAGCTTTCCTTTGCACGGTATTCAAAGGGCCTCATACCCTGATGCCTGTCGTGTCGAGGCCTTCGAGGATTGGCAAAAGATGAGTCTTTGATAGAGGGTCGTCCGGGGTCCTATCCATGGATGGCTATCGACACAGGACGCGCACCTTCCACCCGCGAGCTAATAACACTCAAGTGCCCTAGTCGCAACCCAAGCCCGAGACCGACTGGGAATCTTGCGAGCGGCCAGTAGCACGCAGCGCAAGCAGCGAGCGCGGAGGGGGGCGAGGGGCAGCGGAGCCGGACTCTGCGCTAGTTGCGCAGGGACAAAAACACCTGGGCAAGAAACTGCCCAGCGGGGGGCGTGTCGGCGGCGGCGGCGCCCCGGGACGGCGAGATCGACGAGATCGAGTAGTTGGAGTCCTGCTCGCCCCATCGGTACCTTTTGGCAAAGACCGGGCTCCTCTGGCGGAGCTTTATGTTCAGGCTTCCAATTGTAGGGATTGTACCTACCGTTGGGTAGCCTCACAGGCCTTGGAAAGGTTTGGCGCTCGAGGTCTCTGTCCTTGGCCATTGTTGTCTCCGACGATTTATCCGTCGACTTTATTACTTTCAAGCTCGAATCTGTCCAGCTCTTGTACCGTTCCGTAGCCTATTTCTCTAGGAGTGAGCCCTGGAGTGCTTGTTCAGTCCAGTTGTCTGGTGTCTACCTTGTCATCGTCAGAGCTGGATTCAACGCGAAAGCGTCAATCACGGTCATCTCAATTTGTCCTGAAACCAGGCCGGGAGAGGACAGGAGTGCGCAAGGGCAAGGCGCTCTCTGCTTCGTTGCTTTCTAGCGAGGTGACGGGGGCATTTCTCGGCAATAAGGGTTCCTTTTACGTATTGGTGGCGGGCCATGTCTTGTGAGGCCGACTGGACTCGAGATACAAGGTGAGATGAGCAGGCAATGATTGATCGGACGTGGAAAGAGCCCAGGGACCTCGGGAGGATTGTGTAGATTGTTTGATTCGGACCAAAGAGTGGAAGTGCTTGCCTTGGTCCTAAGGCTCCCGAAGACAAGTACAGTATGAGTGCATGAGAGCCAGTGCAGTCTTCCGCTTGCGTATTGAATGCCTGCCGGTAGCTATTTGCGAGTTTAAGCGTTGCTATGGAATATGCATTTCCCCGAATCTGGTAGTGTCCACAGAAAAGACTGAGGATAAAATAACGCTCCATAGAGCATAAACCCTGTCTTTGGGCGCTGGGCTGACGTACGACTGCCACAAAATAAATAGCTTTTTGTGGTCTTCGGCGGGAATTCCAGTACCCCGTGCGGCGGCTCGTCAAAACGGCCATTGCCCTACGGAGGGCCGCCATCAGGGATCCCTTCCAACGAGCTGGGGGTCTCCAAGAGACTACCCAAGATGCCGACCCGAGTAGAGTGGCCAACTCGCACATCTTTATGCTTGGATGGGGCAATATCAGTGCCGGCAGCGACACAACTGCAGTCACGCTCTCTGCAATATTGTACCACCTGGTCCGCAATCCTCAAGCAATGCAACGCCTCGTTAATGAGATCAGCAATCCAGATCCTTCATGCAAATAAAGTCCTTGCAAGCAAGATTCACCCTACCCTATTCCCGTCCATACCGTGGTTCCTGCCGCTAAAGTGGGGTTGTGCTCGGAGTTGGAAACACCGCAGCCGTTTCCCGCAAGAGAGCCAATCTGCCCTAAATCAACGGTAGGCCAATGATTTTCTGTCGATATTGCCGATCTTGACGGGACTGTAGGGAGGTGGAGAAAGGTAGAGAAATAATATACAAGGGTAAATTAGAATCTTACTCGAGGTAAGTTGGCAGATTACACTAAGTAAAGTGTACCACTGAGCTAGGTATGATTTATTTCGAGATCTTAATAACAGAGGCTCGTTTAGAGTATTTAATGTGCACAGTCGCTGATGGTTGGAGAAAAATCGACAATGGACCCTCGACTAATATTCCAACTTACAGCATCGGCAATGGCATCAGTATGTTCAGGAGCAAGCCTTGCCTTCTGGCTTCTCTCCACCGAGGGTTTAAGCCAGCCAGGGCTGAGCAAGAAACGACTCATTCTCAGTCAAGCCGTTATAGGCGGAGTCATCATCCTCGGCACACACTTTTTTTATAGCTCCAAGTCGCCATAATAAGTCTCCGGAAGGTTGCCGTTTCTGCAAACCTTCTAGTCGTCTCTGTAAACCGATGGATGCCTGCCGATTGGACAAGGCCTGGCCGGTTCCGGCTTCAAGCTATAGATGACTAATCTAGGTAATGGTGTAATGGCAGTATCCATGGTAGAAGATGATGATATTCTCCAAGGTTACTCCGTGGCTAACAACTAACTAGGTAACTATATTATATAATATATATATGTTATATAATAAATGCCCCTTATAAAAAAAGGCAAACCTTTTAATTATTTATTAAATATAACATAACTAGAGTCCGCTTAAAATAAAAATATAAAAAATATAAAAAAAAACTACAAATTGCATAAAAAACCTAACAACTAAAAATATAATAAAAAATAGTTACTAAAAAATAAAGTCCTACAGGAAACCACTAAATAATTAAAGTAACTAGGTTATTCTTTTTTTTAAAAAAAAACTCCTGGGGGGAGATCCTTTAGGTAATATATTAATTATAATTAGGTTAATAATAAAGCTAGTATTAGCTACCTATTTTTTTTATAAATATTTAAAAAAATATTTAGAAGTAAATAGTAATCCTAAATATAGTAATATTTTAATTTTTAATAATAATAATTTATATTTTAATAGTATATTTAGGTAACCCGCGTGTAAAGTAGCTTTAAAAATTAAAATAGTTTTTTATAAATATTTTAGCAAGCTTAAAATTTTTATACCCGTGATATTAATTAAATTAGCTCCTATTAAATTAAAGTATATATTAATAATATTTAAATTTATTAAATTAGCTAGGGGCAAAAATAAATACCTACTAAAGTGCCTTATTACTAAGTATACTTTAACTTATTATAATCTTATTAATAACCATATATTTACCGCCCTATTTATAGTAAGTTAAGTTAACTATTTATTATACACTAAAAATAAGGTATTTAAAGTTTAGGTTATTAATATTTAACCACCGTGTATTTAATAAAGTAAAGCTAGTATTTAATATAATAATAATAATATTTAATAAAGTAAAGCCTGTATTTTAACTACCAGGGTTTATATTTATTTTAAAAAAGTTTTATTAAAGTAAAGTATTAAAAGCTTATATTATATTTAGGTAAGTTATATTTAAATTATTTTAAGTAATAGCTATTATGCAAGTATGTCAGGGCCAATGTTTTTCTATTTAATATTACCAGAGCTAACCTACTGTTAGTTTGGAGTTAGTGCCTTAGGTAACCTAAGCTTTAGCCTTAGGCTGCCAAGGCTTGGTATACTTTATTATTATATTAAATTATATAATTTAACTAGGTTATTATTATTTAGGGTTTTAATTTTTAATTAAGTAAGGTTAGGGTAAGCCTTAAGTATAGGCCTAAGTAAAAATTTATATATAAAATATTTTAAATTTATATTTACTTTTTAATTAAAAATAGCTTAAGCATAGCTTAAAGGTTTATAAAAATAGCCTTAAAGCTAGCCTTTTTTTTAAATTTTTAAATAACTTTTTTAATATTATTTAACAGGATTTAAAATACTTTATTTTTATTAATTAAATTTTTTTATTAATAGTTTTATTATTAGTAAAGATTATGCTAGACTAAATTTTTAAAAAATAAGTAAAAGTAATTTATAGGTATTTTAATTCAGGTTTTTAAAACCTAAACTTAAATAGCTAAAAAAGTGTTTTTTTATTTATACTTAAAAGTCCTGATACTATTAAAAATAGTTAAATAAAAAAACCTAACTTAAATAATTTAAATTACTTACTTAATAAGGTATAGTGTAAAATATACCCTTTACCTTATTTTTTTATATTATTATTATAACTTATTAAACTAAAAATTATTATAATTAAAGTTATTTTAAAAAAAAAGTAATTTAAAGCTACTATACCTAGGTTATTTACCCTTTAATTATATTATAATTAATACCGCGTGTTAAAATTAAAATACTTTAAAAAAAAATAAAAAAAATAACCTTTATAATTTAAAAATAAAGTAGTATTAGTTTACTAGCCTTTATATTAATTTTTTTATTAACTTTAATATTAATTATTTTATTAACCTTTATATTAAGCGTTAATAATATTTAACTTTAGTAATTTTTTAGCTTTAGTTTAAAATTAAGCTTAAATAATAAGTTAAGCTATTATTTTAAAGCTATTTTATTATTAAATCTTAGTATTAATATAAGTAAGTTTAGTTTTAAAAAAATTAAAAATATTATTAATAATAAAAAAGCTACTTAAAGGGCGCTATATTAAAGTAAAAAAAAGTAAAATAAAATTATAAAAATTTATAATTATTATTATAAAAAGATAAGGCTTTTTAAAAGCCTAAAATTAAGTTTAAAAAAATTAAGCCTTTAAAAAAAGGGATATAATAAGGCTTAAAATTTAGTTTAAAATTTTAAAAAATTACTTTTATAGCGCCCCTAAAAGGTTTTAAATAAATAATAAAAAAATTATATTTATTATTTCAAAAGCTTTAAAAAATACTTATAATTATTAAAAAGGTTAAGCTAAATTTTAAAATAATAACCTAACTTAAGTAAATTTTAAAATTTTTATATATATAGGTTAACCTAGTTATAAACTAGGGCTATTATATTACTTAATAACTTTTAATTAAATAATAAAATACTTAAAATATTACTTTTTAAGAACTTTGTTTTATAAAGTTAAACCTATATTTTAATAAGTTAAAGTTTAAAATATAAATTTTTATTAAAATATATAATAAAAATATTTATTTATACTTAAAAAAGTTAAAAAACCCTTTAAAAACTTTTATTAGCATAAATATAGTAATAATTTATATAAAGTTTATTTTAAAGTATAATAAGGCCTTAAAGGCCAAGAAAAAAAGTTTAAAGCTAGTTTTAATTTTAAAAATAAAAAAAATAAGAATAACTTAGGATAAAACTAGAATAATAGTAAAGTAGCTTTTTTAAAAAAAGGGAAAAAAAAAAGTAARAAAAAAAGTAGTAACTTACTTTTTTTTTAAAAAAAAAGTATTATAAAAAAGGGCCTTTATTTTAATTATAGTAAATTAAGCCACCTATTAAAGGCTTATTTAAATAAAAAAAACTAAAAAAAGCTAGTAAAAAATAAATAATAATTTATTAATTTTAAGTTATTAAAGTTAAACAATTTAAAAAAAAGATTTTTTTTTATTCTTACAAATCTTAGGATATAAAAAAATAAGGTAAATTAATAATTTAAAGTATTACTTAATATTAAGGCTAATACTAATTTTATTTTAGTTTAATATTTATAAAAGTAAAAAATTAAAATAAATACTAACTATATAATATAGCTAGTTTAATATATTAATAATATTTTTACTTTTTATTATAGGTATTTATAAACTTATACTTGGGTTTATAATTTAAAAAAAGTTATAAAAATATTT